GAAGACCTGAGAGACCTGACTCTGGGGACAGAGAGTAGACCTGAAGACCAGAAGATCTGAGAGACCTGACTCTGGGGACAGAGAGCAGACCAGAAGACCTGAGAGACCTGACTCTGGGGACAGAGAGCAGACCAGAAGACCTGAGAGACCTGACTCTGTGGACAGAGAGCAGACCTGAAGACCTGAGAGACCTGACTCTGGGGACAGAGAACAGACCAGAAGACCTGAGAGACCTGAGTCTGGGGACAGAGAGCAGACCAGAAGACCTGAGAGACCTGACTCTGGGGACAGAGAGCAGACCTGAAGACCTGACGAGACCTGACGTCTGGGGAAAGAGAACAGACCTGAAGACCTGAGAGACCTGGATGGTTCATCATTTAGCAGGAGGTCAGAAATGTATTTTGGGCCCAAACCATTCAATGCTTTATAAACCAGCAGCAGTATTTAGAAATTATTTGACACACAGGAACCAGTGTAAAGACTTCAGAACTGGACTGATCCACTTTCTTAGTGTCAGAGAGGAACCAGTGTAAAGACTTCAGAACTGGACTGATCCACTTTCTTAGTGTTAGTGAGGAACCAGTGTAAAGACCTCAGAACTGGACTGATCCACTTTCTTAGTGTCAGTGAGGAACCAGTGTAAAGACCTCAGAACTGGATTGATCCACTTTCTTAGTGTTAGTGAGGAACCAGTGTAAAGACTTCAGAACTGGACTGATCCACTTTCTTAGTGTCAGTGAGGAACCGAGCAGCGTTCAGTCATAAAGTCTAAACTCTGCTGCAGCTCTCAGTGTAGAGAGTCAAATATAATCTAACTCTACCCTCAGTCTGAGTCTTTACTCTCAAAGTATTGACAATTGTATTCGTATTTAAGTCTGACCTTGTCCAGGGAACACATGGCGAACACGGGTCCGTCGTGGGCTTTGATGGTCTTGATGAGCGTGGTGTCTCTCCAGATGTAGACGTCTCCATTGGTCGCTCCGGAGAACACCAGGTCCTCCGATCGACCGTAACACGCCGACATCATCGTCTCCTGCTTCCCCAGGTTCCCAAAGATCCCCCGTTTAAACGTGAGGCCGCCCCCTGCAGGACGGGAGGCGTTACTCAGGACACAGAGCAACACTGAATCCGACACTGAGAGGTTCTACATAACTGGTTTCAAGATTCAAGTCTCTATCATCAGGAGCTCAGCAGCTAGAAATGGAAATGAGAAACTGAAGTCCTCCTCCAACAGAGCAACATGAATATATATATAGGACATGAAACAAATAAAACAGATAAAATAGTGCAAGAGAATGTTTTGAGATGTGCAAGTAAGTACAAATAAAATAGAAATAGTGCCAGAAGAGTCTAGATACAAGTAAATGGAATACGATATATTACAAATAATTAGCAAAATGCAAGATTGCAGCTGTGATTAATATGCACTGCAGCTGATGGATCAAACCCAGGTAGACTCAGGTGAGTGGGGGGGGGGTACCTGAGTGCTGCCAGAACTTGATGTGCTTTATGCCGACCGTCACCAGCTTGTCCATCCTGAACGGGTTGCTCCTCACCACGAACGTCTTCTCTTTGTGACCCCTGCAGACCACAGAGGTAAACACTCTTACCCTCTCATTATATTACCTATAACAGGAGCCCAGGAGTACAGGTGTACATGTGTACAGGTGTACAGGTATAGAGTAGGGTTGCCAGAAACTGACCATGATCAAAATCGATTATTCGGCAGCCCTGGCGAATAATAATCGAATCAAAACTGCACTCGTCAAAGTCCTCAATGACCTCCTCACCTCTGCTGACACTGGTTCCCTCAATATTCTCATCCTCCTCAACCTGAGTGCAGCCTTCGATACCGTGAGCCACAACATCCTGCTCACCCGAGTCAGGGACATTGGTATTGAAGGTATTGCACTCAGGTGGTTCCAGTCCTGCCTCACTGAACGATCCCACTTCATCTCCCTCCCCAACCACTCCTCTGTCACAGCTTCAGTCACCCAAGGCGTTCTTCAAGGATCAGTACTTGGCCCCCTCCTCTTCATCATTTACATCCTGCCCCTCGGTCAGATACTCCGCCACTTCAACCTGGACTTCCACTGCTATGCTGATGACACTCAGATCTACCTCAGCACCAAACCCCTCCATAACCCACCCCTTACCCACATTGATTCCTGTCTGACAGCTATTAAAACTTGGATGCAACATAACCTCCTCAAACTGAACAGCAACAAAACAGAACTCCTCCTAATTGGCTCCAAATCCACCCTCAGCAAGGTCACTAACATAACACTCACCATCGATGGC